CTGACTTCTGTACAATTTGCCGAAGGGTGTGTATGTGGTATATGTTACTAAAGCCTTTTCGGAAACCGGCTTGTTCGGGAGGCTGGAAGTCGTCAAGTCTGCGCGCGAGACGATTCGTAATGACTCTCGAAAACAGCACGTAGACGCAGCGCAGAAGGGAAATCGGTCTGTAGTTCTTCAAGAGAGCGTTGTCGCCTTTCTTGAAGAACAAGACCACCTCACTTCTGCTCCACGCCTCAGGAGTAGTGCCACCATGGAGGACGGAATTAAAGAGCTTCTGAAGGACTTCAAGTACCGGTTTTCCACCCGCTTTCAGAAGCTCCGCTGTAATTCCATCCTTGCCTAGAGCCTTGCCGTTTTGAAGGTACTGGAGAGCCATTCTAATCTCGCTCAGACTGACGTCTGGGATATCATCGGAACAATGTCGGATAAGACTCGCTCTTGGATCGTTACTCACACTTGCGTGTGGCTCCAACGATGATGTGTACAGCTGCCCATAGAACCTCTCAATCTCACTCAAAATCTCAGGTGCCCCGGAAACGATGCTGCCACACTAGGTCTTCAGCTTTGATAGTTGGCTCTTTCTGGCAGACAGATCTCTGTCAAAGACTTTGGAGCCTTGGTTCCGCTCGATCGTTTCTTCAATACGAGCCGTATTGAAGTTACGTAAGTCCCGCCGCATGCATTTGGAGATCTGTCTATTCAGTTGCCTGTATGCTGTCAAATCTGTTGAAAAATGTAGCTTCATCTCCCGTCTAACAGCCATGAGATTAAGAGTGTGATCGGAGAGTTTTTGTGTTCTTCTGCGGCGGGTCTTGCAGAACTTAGCTCCGACCGCTTGGACAGTTTCCACGAGCTTGTCATTCATATCGTCCTCTTTATTGCAGTCTTCTAGGCACTGAAAATGGTTTTGTAACTCGAGCTGAAAGGTTTCGGGACTTTGGATTAAAGTACGAGGGGGACGGAGCGTTGACTTCATTAGACAAGACCTCTCCAACTTAACGTTTAGGTTCAGTGTGCCTCTAACCATTCGGTGATCGCTGCCGGTTTTCACCCTCGCGATCACTGAGACATCACTGAACAGTTGTCGTCTGGTCGTCATAATGAAGTCAATCTCATTTTTTGTCGAAACGTCGGGGCTCGACCAGGTCCACTTCCTGTGAGGCCGCTTCTGGAAGAAAGAGTTCATCATAAAGAGTCCCTCTTTCTCCATGAAGTCGGCCAGCTGCTGGCCCCTTGGGTTCTGTTGCCCTATTACAAATTTCCCTACTTTTAGCTTACCATTCTCTCTTGTGCCTAGTTTTGCATTGAAGTCTCCCATTAACACCGTATATTGGGTTTTGGAGGAATGCATGGCTCATGGAGGAAATGTATGAGATATCCTCATACATTTCCTCCACCTCCTCATCGGGGTGTGCCGAGTTTGGTGCGTAAACTTGTATGACCTTCAGCGAATACCGTTTTGTGATTCTGAGTATAAGGTACGCCTCCCTCGTCGGCACACTCTCAATCTTTAAAACGTTGTTAACGAGAGACTTGTGGACGATAAATCTGACACCTCCTTGGGACAGATGGTCCCAGTAATAGAGCAAGTTGCCGGATTCGAGGATTACCGTTTCCTCCCTCTCTCTTCGGACTTCGGATAATCCTATAATATGCCACCGTAACTTGTCTATCTCTTCTGCCAGCTCCACAATCTTCTCGTCAGTCCTCAGGATGCGTGCGTTGTATGTTGCCAGGTCGAGTCGTCGTAGATGGCAACCGAACCTCCACCGCAGATTCTTAGCACCCCCTGCCCCGCCGTTACCATGGTCGCCTACCGTAGTCAGGAATAGCGGGGCCGCCGGGGACTGGGGGCCGTCTCTTAGTAACTTCATCCATTTGGGGGGTATTTGCCATAGTTGCCACGCTTGGCGAGCGGGTTGGCAACCGCAGTTTTTTTATTGTATTTTTGCTGTTATCAGGAAAATGCTGCTGCCCATCTCCGGCCTGTTTCCCTTTGTCGCCTTTTACCCACGGGAAGATATGGGGTAGTGGATATTCTTAACCGCCACTACACGGCCAATATTCATATTTTTCACTGTAATCTAATTATAAAAATAAAAAATGAAAATATTCTTCTCAGAAATGAGAGCAGGCCTGTGCCCGACAGTGCGAGGTATATAGGTAACTTTACTCTAAATTAATATGTGAATTAAGGATGTACTTGAAATATTACGCTCGTTGTTATATCTTCATGAGTAACATACACTTTTGAAATCATCTTCTATATCTTCCTGGGCTTTTTCATAGTCGCCTCCACACCACGGTCAACGCCACCAATTATATAGCAATGTTGAACTTGTTTTATTGCTGAGTGGAACCTTTTTGACGAAATTCACAATATAGTTTTTTTACTTACACTATTTCTATCGACAAGAGACGAGATTGTAATGTAAACTAACGCAGTTAAAACTATCCTCGTAAATACTTTAATATTTTTTGATAATTTTATGTATCTGGTCAAACTAATCATAGGTTACAATTGTCAAGTTTTTTTTATTTGTTTCTTATGTTTTTTTTTATAGTCTTGCAAGGATTCCTATCTTATAATTTATTTTGCTTAATAATTTTCTTTTTATTATGGTTTATTCTGGTTTTGTATTTTGTGATCAATATTATTTATCTTGTTATAAGAGTTGTCAACTAAATCTATTCTATTCTAAAAATGTAAGAACATTGTTCCAATCTATCTCATTTCGTTCGAATTTATTTCATATATCTTTTCACTTATCTCACCAATGGAAAAGTTTCAATTGAGTAGGCCTATGTAGGAAGAAAAATTGACAAAGTTTTTCTTTTGACAATATTGAGGTGACTCGACAATCTGTTTTCTGTGACAATAATGTTTCGATAAAGTCCCGAGTAAAATCTTTTTACATATGATTTGTTGGCATTATAAAGATTTTCCTTAACTTTAACTTTCGTACGAATCATCATCATCATCATCATTACAGCCCTTCACAAGTCCACTGCTGAACATAGGCCTCCCCCAAAGAATGCCACAAAGCACGGTCCTGAGCCACCTGCATCCATCGACTTCCTGCATGTCTTACCAGGTCGTCACTCCATCTCGTGGGGGGATGCCCTACACTTCGCCTACCGGTACGAGGCTGCCACTCGAGAACCTTTCTTCCCCATCGGTTGTCGGTTCTTCGAGCTATATGGCCGGCCCATTGCCACTTCAGCTTACTAATCCGTTGGGCTATGTCGATTACTCTGGTTCTACTGCGGATATCCTCATTCCTAAGTTTATCACGCAGAGAAACTCCGAGTATAGCCCTCTCCATAGCTCGCTGAGCGACCTTGAGCTTCCTCATCCGGCCAGCAGTGAAGGACCACGTCTCAGTTCCGTATGTCATCACTGGTAACACGCACTGGGTGTACAGTCTCGTTTTCAAGGTTTGAGGTATACCTGACGAGAAGATGTGCCGTAATTTCCCGAACGCTGCCCAACCGAGTTGAATCCGTCGATTGACTTCTCGGTCTAAGTTGGACTTACCTAGTCGGACTATTTGTCCCAGGTAAACATACTCGTCAACAACTTCGAGCTTAGTGTTCCCAACAACTACCGGCATAGGTGTGACATGGACATTAAACATGATCTTAGTTTTTGTTAGTTATCTCTTAGTTGGTACGAATGTCACGGTAAAAAGCATAAAAAAGGCCCATGTACGTCGCACGGCACAGCTCTCTTTTCATTTCTGAGAATGTTTTGTAGTAGAAGTAAGAGTCTGTCACACTATTCTGTGTGTGTCGTAATGTCGTACAGACCTTACATCGCCCTGAAATATTTTTTATTTCATATTTTAGACTTGTATTTTATGAAAGATGTTTTTTTATGATAGTGTAGTAATTTATATTTTCATTGGTGCTAGTGGGGTGATCCCCGACTAAGGTCGGAAATTCAAGGCCAATCTTTATTTCCTGTGTAGACGCAGATCTTGTGCGATATCCATTACAAAAGAATGTATTTAGCAGTTAATATAAAAGATTAAAAAAATTAATTAGCTTTGTAACACGTCGCCCCCAAATTTGGTTTAAAGAATAAGCCGCTACGCTGCAGTGTCATTACAGATTAACGAACTATTCAGATATTTGAATATCTTATAATAAGCTATATACTCGTTTCTGTTATACAGGTATTTTTAAAAGTACGAGTCTGAAATTGTACCTGGCTTTAAATTACACGTCACGTAAAGAAAATAGATCCCCACTAGATGGAGTTACGACTGTAGGAAACATGCAGGGAATTGAAATCGAATCGGCTCAGTACTGTATGGGAGCGACTTTTGTTCAGTGGTAGACTTATAAGCTTTAATGATAACGTAATATTATGTAACATAAATCAGTTTTTAGAGACCTTTTTTTATAGGATAAGGGTAACAAGCGAGCACACAGTCCACCTGATGGTCAGTGGTTGCTGCGGCCCATAGACATCTACATCTATCCTCTAAATCAAAATGCAGATGCGTTGTCACCCGTGAGGACTAAGATGGAATGCCTTATTTCCAGTAAAAAGGGCCTCCGGCCACCTGCACTCACCAAGCGAAATGCAGTGGTAAACCTCTACTTCACGCTGGTATTCTGTGGAGTCGTGGTACCACCCCGGTTCGAGCCGGCCCATCCGTGCGACAGTAAACGCTGCCGCGTGGCTCTACCACTGTTGAAAAGAACCTTCGTTTTATAATAATATGTTATCAGCGTTTTTTTAGTTATCAAACAACTGTTACGTTGCTTGATACTTAAATTATCCTAAAATAGCATACATAAATTACCTAAACTATTGAAATTGTGTTGCGTCTGAGGTAGAGTCTCGACCGCGTGCATTAATCTGCCAGTAAAGCCTGTCAATTACCTTAGATCTTTCTACTTTGAGAGGTGAATTTTCTACATTGAATTCTTCACTAGCCGCTAATGTTAAATGCTGATGATTAAATTATTGGTTTTCTTTTTAACAGCTGGGGGAAGGGGTGGAGCTGACGCTGGGCGAACTGCGCGCAATGGCGCTCCGACAGCAGCAGCAGATCGACACCCAACACCAGCTGCTCTGCGCCAAGGAGCAGCGGTTGCGGTACCTCAAGCAGCAGGAGGCCAGACAACACCAGGTAACATTTAGAAACTATAAATATGCTATATTGATATAACCTTAACAAAGTCTCTCCCTTTCTCTCTCTTTTCTTCTTTCTCTTTTTATTCCCCCCCCCCCCCTCTCTCATACATATACATACTCACATTTAGCTAATCACACATCATATTTTCATCAATTTGCTCTATCGTTAACAGCTTCAAAAATATTGCCATCTGTCATTTAACTACATCCATTAGTTAACTATTAGATAGTAATCGACTCTTATTATCTTACTTGATATGGCAATATGATTGAATATTTTTGTATTGTTGTAAAGTGAAAATAATACATTTATATAATTATAATTATATTAAGATAATTGAAATGTAATAATTACAATAATTACATTTCGATTATCAAGTGTCGTTAACAATTATTTACAGAGCGACAAATTGTACAAAAGTAACCACACAATTTGACGATACAGTGTAAATTCAAATTTATGTAATTATTAAAAACCCTTCATTTATTTATAAGTAAGATCTCGTTTAAAGCTTCAAAAGTATGCAAACAATCCAGCCTTTCGTGAATACATTACTAAGTAAAGCGAGCAAACGGAAGTACATTTTACCTAAATAATTAATATTACATGTGTGGTTACTTGTAAGAGGATAATCCTATTAATGATGCAATATTGGCAACAATAAATTCAACTGCACTGGAAGCGTTATTATTTCATCAAATACTCGCAAAAGAAAAAAATTATATGTTCAGTAGGAGCTAAGATTTAAGTCAGTGCCAGATTCACTATACATATTTTACGATTGTTTTTTTTTTATATAGAATAAGGGTGACAAACGATCACATAGTCTACCTGATGGTAAGTAGTTGCTGTGGACCATAGATATCTACATTTATACTCGATTAAGAATCAGAAATCTCCGGTTCTCTACACTCACCATACGAATCACAGCAGCATTAAGCTGCTAATTTACGCTGGTATACTGTGAGAGCGTGGTCCTACCCCGGTCAAGCCGACCCCTTTGTACTATAACTAATATAGCTTTACTTACCACTAATTTGGTTGTATAATCTTCAAAAATATTTAAGTATTTAAAATATTTAAGAATAGTCGAGAAATAGTAGAGATCTTGTGCAGTTTCATCGCCAATAAGATAGAAATCAAACCTAGAACTCGGTGTGCAGGAAATTTGTTAGTCTTCATCAATTATAAATAAAACTCGAGATTTGATAAAAAATAACAATTGTGCTTAAAAAATTATAAAAATAATGTAATTTTCATTTATAGAAAGTATTACCTATATTAAATATATATCCTTATAGTGGCGGTGTTTACACACCCCGTCCGTGGTCCGATAGTCCCGTGTGTTTCGTAGGAGGCGAATATGGGGAATGCCAAAATGATCTCTATACGCTTCCGATAGATGGCAGTTTACAATAGGCGTACAATATACAAAGACTGGATACGAACAGCAGAAATTTCAAAAGTGCGAAACATCTGGTACCGTGATCGTTAATCCGGCTGCCAAGTGACGATTAACGCAAATCCTTCCTACAATACGAAAGGCTCATGTCTAGCTGTAAACTTTTACGGGCCGATGAAGATGATGAAATAATAGTCTATTGTATAAAATATATTTCAATTTAATTTGTTTGCTATTCTTATTGTATACATTTGGTCTTAATTTCCACCTTCTTCCTTCAAATACTTTTCCCGTCGTGCCGAGGGTTCAAATGCCACACGAAAAATGTAAACGGCCTAAAAATAACTGACCCAGGTCTGGAATTTATGTAAAACTCTGTGGGGAAACTCCTCCACGATTCTCAAGAAAGTCCAAGTATGCGGATAAAGTTTTTAATATAAAAAAGAAAGAAAAGAAAGGTTATAAATTAAATTTAGCTACTCAGTGTGCTTAACGCGAATATTAATAATATTAACAGACTTATTAGCAGTTTTCTTTGTTAAAAAGTGCTTGTGATATAACATGATATTGATAAAACTAATTGATAATTATGCAATAAATTGCAAAATCACATAGTATAGGCTTTTTTAAAATTACTTTTATAAAGCAATTTGGAATATTTTTTTATAAATAAAACACAATAACGTAATTTACGCATAAGTATTCATTGTGTTAAAAGGAACCTCTTTATTTAATTAAGATATAAGCACATTACAATATGTATTAAAATGGGTACAGAAATTAAATACATTTATTCGATTAAGCAGAGCTACGACTTTGTAAATAATCCTTTTCTCACGCAACTTGCGAACTATTCTTGTACCGTCCGATTGGAAATTTAATAACGGTCTCAAAGATACTTATTTCAAAAATGCTTTTAGAGTCGGCAGCTGAAGTTTATAACGAATACTATAAGATTATAAAACATTCTTATCGAATCATATGAGAACCATTTTACTATGTATATAAGATTTATTGTTAAAATTTTACCATTTAACTTCTATAATAAAATAAAAGACGCTAATTTTAACTTGTTTATTATAATTTTGGACGTGTCGAGTGCTTTGCAGCACTCATGGTCACAAATTTGAATTATTATTTCCGAAAAGTGTGCAGGTTACGATTATATTATTGAATAACTTTCGTCCCGTCGTTAAATTCGCTCCTGCCTGTAGAGTAAAATTGATTACCACGGTTCTTACTTCTTACCATGATAAGGGAAACGATTGAAATCAAAATAAAACCTAATTATAATAGAGAAAATGGTGGAGTGCTAAAATCAGCTTGGGATACAATGATTATTAAAATTAAATCAAGCATACCACTGCAAGACTATAAAATACTGTAAGTTCATTTGCGCGTATCGGAACACAAAATATAAAATATTCATGGATATGTACCTTAAAACCAACTTGAAACAAAGTAGGTTTAAACAATTTGAGCTACTGACAATTCAATTGCTAGTCTTTTTAAGAAAAATCTTTCAACATGGATGAAACATGTTGCTGCCTTTTTAGTTTTGTAGGTGACTTTTATGGTCTAATAAAATGTTAAATTTTCTTGCTCTCTCTCTTTCTCTCTCATGCTTGGTACCTTTTCACAATTTTAGTATTATATAGAAAAAATAACTGTTTACTTTTGATAATATGAACAGTTCATTATCGTCATAACAATCAGCATTCAGCATGTGGTTGATGCTGAATCCATAGTCAATTACACGTATTGTTTTGTGTCATTGTTCTATAACAATTACTATGTATGTCAGTATCTAGTATACTTGGATTGGATTGTCGCCAGACTTTTAAACCATGTTCATAATATGCAAATATTTGATTGTGCTTGATGTGCATATAGCATATTCCCATGGGTATTTAAATACTTAAAATTTGATTTTATGATAACTTATCTTTGTAGCAAATATTAAAATTAGTTAACTTAGTTTTAAAGTTAATTATTAAGATTTTTATATTATTAAGAAAGTTTTATAAAAAGAATTCTTCGAGTCGATAGTGATCTAATGTGATCCGTGAAGTAAATCATATAGAGCATACATGACTGCGACGTTTGTTAATAATGTTTTCTAACTGTCAGAGCATAGTTTAAATTCATTCCAGTCAAATTAAATGACAAAACAAGAAAAAAGTAATAAAACTTAAAATAATTTGTTAAACGAACTCTATTCAGATTTTCAAACCATAGAGCAACAAGGGCAACCGGCAGAGTGAAGGGGGTAATCACGCGATCCTATACGTACAATAAAACTAACAGTCGCACTGCTCACTAGACTAAATCTAGTTGCGAGTTTGAATACACGTGCTACATAAATGTTTTTTTTTTCTGCAAAAAAGATCTGCCAAGTTAAATTTACAAAAAGTTCGCGTTACCTTTCAAATATAAGTAATTTTTAATCACATTATTGTTATTTACTTATTTTTATACTTAGAATTATAACGGTCGTGCTATTTCGGATTTGTTTACCAACACAGACCGCTCGCTCTCATACAATATGCAGATCGGTCAAGTGACTGACCCGAGCCTGTATTCGAGTTGTCACTCTCACCGAGCGATACTGTTATTATGCATCTATGTGCGTGTGAAATTGTTAGTATACTCTTTTAATTGTTATGTGTGAGTTTCGTTGTGACAGACGATTATTTTTGTATGCGCTGATTTCCCCCCGCAAAAGTGACAAACAGTTCTGTATCGGGAAAAACGCTATGGCTACTCCCCTCCGGTCCGCCCGTGTTACTCTATGTTTCAAACTGATACAAATTGCGATTGTTACGTGCCCACGTCTCGAACGTTCTTTCACATCCTTCTTATTCTTGACATCTTTCATTACATCGGTCTCGACAAAGTAAGGTAGCTATTATATCGTGTAATTTATTTTTGTTTGTTTACGGCCACACTAGGATTTTCTCCTGTATCGTGGGGCAGTTTAACAAACATCCAAACCCGCAACAATTATTTGTAGGCCATACAAATACCTGTTCCTTGCGGAATTCGAACGCGCAGTCCTTAGCGCTGCAACTTATTGCTAAGCCACGGAGCCGTCAATATTACAATGGTAATGTTGACGTCTTTTATACTATAAAGCCTGTTGCAAGTTAGTGTTACGAAATACAAAGAAAGGATTTTTATTAAATTAGTTACGAAGTTTTTATATAAGTTTTTAAATACTTTAGAGTGAAGTCTTGTTGTCGTACTTATAAGAGCTGTTTTCTACTGTTTTCTCTTCGAATTTTATGTTATCTTGATGAATTGTTTTCTCTCCTTAATTGACTCTCCCAGTTCATATTTAAAGCGTTGGCTTTTACAAACTTCGGAACAGTTTATCTAATATAGCGTTATGAATTTAAAATCTTTAGTCATTAATTTATATTCATTCAGCTATAGTAAACATTACTAGTGTTGTTTTATCAAATTTAACAAAACACGTGCAAGTATAGGATGATTATAAAAGTAATTGTACTTACTATCTAATATTTAAAATTGGTTTATTTTCATTTTGTGTATTTATGTTAAATTTCGTAATATTAATTTCGTCCGTTAC